AGAACTGTGATAATAAAAGGATATCTCTCAAAAAACTTGTGGTAATTTGTTATGTATTTAAAAACCGATGTCTTTTACTTACATTACCTAGCAACCAGAATGCCTTGCATCGTACCTGGATGCAGTACGCTTATGAAGGATCAGTGTTAAGAAACCTGCTTATCAACACAAGAGAACTAGCTAAATATTAATGTTATTTATTCCATCTGTACAATATGCTTAATGACATTTAGTTGACAGTAGCTATTCACTCCCCAAGTATTTGCTGAATACCTACATGTGCTAGATGCTAGGAATACAGCAGTGAACAAAATGGGTAAGAAGCCTTGCCCTTATGGAGTTTATATTTAGTAAAAAATGTTGTGGACAGGGTTCCATAAATTCTGTACTTACACATGTTAAACACTTCAAATGACAAGAAGCTTAATGTCCACTTGAAGAGTATAAGCAGACTTGAGCATTTTACTTCAGCATTCAGTCCTACTAGGGTAAGTCATCTTATACCATCAATAAACCATGACATCCTCAGCTATAAAATGGGACTAGTAATAAATATTTTACAAAGTCACTAGTTATAAATTAATCACATACATATATATGTTGAAAGAAAAAATTATGACACAGAAATATATACACAGCATGATTCAATTGATATAAAGTTCCAAACACAGAAAGAACCAGTAAATGTTAGGCCTGTATACATAAGCAGTTATACTATTAAAGAAAAAAAAAAAACCCAAGGAAATAATAGATGCAAAAGTCACAATAGTAGCTCCCTCCAAGACAAGGAGTGGGCCTGTGAACTGAGAAGGACATGTAGTGGGGGGAGAGTTGGTGGATCCTCGCAGTGTTCTGGTTCTCAACCTGTGCAGATTATACAGGTGTCTGTTTTATAATTACCTGTTTAGATGAATGGATAAAGAAGATGTGGTATATATATACAATGGAATACTATGCAGCCATCAAAAGAAATGAAATCTTGCCATTTGTGACAACGTGGATGAAACTAGAGAGTATTATGCTTAGCGAAATAAGTCAATCGGAGAAAGACAGTTATCATATGATCTCCCTGATATGAGGAAGTGGAGATGCAACGTGGGGGGTTTGGGGGGTAGGAAAAGAATAAATGAAACAAGATGGGATTGGGAGGGAGAAAAACCATAAGTGACTCTTAATCTCACAAAACAAACTGAGGGTTGCTGGGGCGAGGGGGGTCGGGAGAGGTGGGTGGGGTTATAGACATTTGGGAGGGTATGTGCTATGGTGAGTGCTGTGAAGTGTGCAAACCTGGCGATTCACAGACCTGTACCCCTGGGGATAAAAATACATTATATGTTTATAAAAAAATAAAAAAATTTTTTAAAATAAAAATAAAAAATAATTATCTGTTTAACCCCACATGTACACCTTACCAACTTTTCCACATATGTACCAGTTAACCCTTGAACAATGAAGGAGTGAGGGGTGCCAAACCCCCAGCAGAAGGAAATCCACGTATAACTTGACTCTCCCAAAACTGAACTACTAATAGCCTAGTGTTGACTTTACCTTACCTGAAACATAAATAGTTAACACATTTCTGTATATTATATTATACTGTATTCTTACAATAAAGTAAGCTAGAGAAAAGACAATCTTATGAAAATCATCAGGAAGAGAAAATACATTTTCAGTACTGAATTTATTAAAAAAAGAGTGCCTGGGTGGCTCAGTTGGTCAGACATCTGGCTCTTCATTTTGGTTCTGTTCATGATCTCATGGGTCCTGATATAGAGCCCCACGTCAGGATCCATGCTCAGTGGGCAATCTGCTTGAGATTCTCTACTCTCCTTCTGCCTCTGTCCCTCCCCACCCCAGTTCTCGGTCCCTAAAATCTCTAAAATAGATAAATCTTTCCAAACAAAACAGCTTTTTTTTTTTAAAGATTTTATTTATTTATTTGACAGAGCGAGAGATCACAAGTAGGCAGAGAGGCAGGCAGAGAGAGAGGGGGAAGCAGGCTCCCCACCAAGCAGAAAGCCCGATGCGGGGCTCAATCCCAGGAACCTGAGATCATGACCTGAGCCGAAGGCAGAGGCTTAACCCACTGAGTCACCCAGGTACCCCCAAAACACCTTTTTTATATACACATAGTTCACACCTGTGTTCAAGGGTCAACCACATTACATTTCACATACCCAAAAAAAAATGCTTTATAAAAGATCAATTACTGGGGTGCCTGGGTGGCTCAGTGCTTTTAAGTTTCTGCCTTCAGCCCTGGTCATGATCTCAGGGTCCTGGGATCAAGCCCCGCATGGGGGAAATCTCTGCTCAGCAGGGAGCCTGCTTCCCCCTCTCTCTCTCTGCTTGCCTCTCTGCCTACTTGTGATTTCTCTCTGTCAAATAAATAAATAAAATCTTTTTTTAAAAAAAAGATCAATTACTATCACATACAGTGATACACAATGGGGGGGGCTTCTTTTCATTTTCAAAGATTAAAGTTTTATAGCCTCTAAAATTTCTATCTAAGATACCTAAGGGTCAAAAGTCAACCTCATATTCTTGGACAAATTAACATGGGAAAGGATTTTACTTCAGAATAATCAGTAACACAGTCCTTCATTTTTCAAAATAGAATTTAAAGTAAGAATTTCCATTCTTAATTTTATTGTTTTTGCAGATATTCTTTATTTTAAAGGGAAGAAAAAATACGTGAGCAGGTAACTGGACCATCTCAGACGAATCAAACAATAAACATCTTAGAAATAACAGTGACTGAAGCAACACTTTCCAAGGAAGTCAGGTATTTCTACGACCAACTCCTTTCTTTGTTCATATTTCAGTTGAAATAGCCTCAAAACTACCTGTGTACTTGTCTAGTGAAACCTCATTAACACACAAGTAAATTTAACATTTTCCATTTTATTAAGATTCCTATGCAAAAAAGAAAAAGAGTCCTATGCAAAAACAATCAATGATGTTCCATAAAAAAAATTAGACTAATTCAATAATAAGTTCTTCAAAGGCAGAATCTATATCAATTATCCTCTAGATATACTGGCAAGTATTGGGAATTAGATGTTAGAAATCTCATATTCAAGTCTGTGCTACTTCAATTACTACCTGCGTGATGTGAGTATCAATTTCCTCCTTTGTTAAATAAAGACAATTGTATCTGCCCCACCAATCTTACAGGCTTATTTGAGGTGCTAAATATAAAAAAATATAAAACACCCTTGCAAACTTTGAAGGCTTCCAGAAACGTTACTATCATTTTATTTATCTTTAGTGGCTAGAACATAGGTAGCCTAACATGTTTCTTAGTAATGACTGCAAATGTAATGAATGAGATAGTTTGCTGTTGGTCTAAAAGAACCTCACCATTCTTACATCAACAGTCAGCTTAATATTAAAAACTGAATGAGGAGGGGCGCCTGGGTGGCTCAGTGGGTTAAAGCCTCTGCCTTCGGCTCAGGTCATGATCCCAGCATCCTGGGATGGAACCCCGCATGGGGCTCTCTGCTCAGTGGGGAGGCTGCTTCCTCCTCTCTCTCTGCCTGCCTCTCTGCCTACTTGTGATCTCTCTGTCAAATAAATAAATAAATAAAATCTTAAAAAAAAAAAAAAACTGAATTAGGCATTAAGAACAAGTTGGGTCACTTACAAAATCCAAGCTTTTCTAAAGAGTAGATGCCCACATGATGAGGGTAGCCATCCCTTAGTCCCAGAAGACTGCTAGAGGGCAGCACAGAGTTGGAAAAAACTGAATCTCCACACACATTTTGGTTAATATCTTCACATCTTAACTTCCCTTTCTGGAGAAAGAATCTCTGGTTCCTACAGTGTCCAGCTAATACTCAAGGCCTCCTGCAAGGCCCTGGCACTACCTTGCCATTTGGACCCAGAGACACCAGGCCTCAACCCTACCCCCTTTCTTTACCCTAAGAAAGGACATGTATGGTGTGTCCTGTGGCAGACTGAGATAGTTCAGAAGTACGCCAGTGAACATGTGCCAATGTACCTATACTGTCCCCATGCCCACCCAGCCTTGGTCCCTGGAAGACAATGGCAGAATTGGTAAGACTGCCATCCATGACTTTGCCCCAGGTACCTGTGGCCGAGGTTCCTAGAGACCCCTTTCACCTCCCAAATACTAAGAAGCTGAAATATTTTAATATTGGGGGGTTTTTTCTTGGTGCCAGAGTTTATATCCATAATGCCCTGGTTACACAGTGTTTTTTATATATAATTATATATATAGTATGTATTTATTTAAAAAAGGGTTGCTGTCATGTGGGAATGCAGAACACCATGATTCAGATTGTTCTAGAGAAACCACAAATTTGTATTTTCATATAAAACTGCTAATTCACAAATACAGAAAACTTAACTAAAAAACATATTTCTAGCTGTCAAGTCATTAAACTTGCCATTCACTCTCTATCTGAAACATTCTTCCCCCAGATATTTGTAGGATTTGCTCCCTCGCTTTGGTCCAGTCTATGTTCAAATATCACCACCTTCCTCAGAGAAATCTTCCATGACCATCCCACCTAAGAGAGTTGCGTACATACATACTCTAACCATTCTCCATGCCCTTACCCTGCTTTATTTTTCCCTAGAGAGTCCATCGCTACCTGCTAGTAGAAGCACTGGCATTAGTTTTTAAATACCTGCTTATTGTCTGTTTCCCTTAGTAGAATGAAAGGAAAGTGGTTTTGTATACACTGTATTCCCAAAGCCTCGAGTAGTACCTGACGTATACATAAGTGCTCAATTAGTACGGTCAAATGAAAGGTTCTCAGATTGTTGACTGACACATATAGGTGAACTTGGAAATGTAAACAATACATGTGAAAGCAGTCACACGGCATTCTCTTCCATTTACATAAGCATAAACCTGTTTTCACTTTTCAGTAAGTTTATCAGTTTTAGGGCATTTACCAATGTTCACTGACAGAGTTACTAATACGATATCACTATCAATACAAAAACATTTATCAGTGCCACTAAAAGGATACGAGAAGCGATCGTTCCATGTTGCTCTTTCCACGTATTCCAACATGACAACAGCTTTGATTGTCGTTAAAAGTTTGTTCCATGTTTCATCAAAATCTACTACTCTTGGTTTCAAAGACATTGTGCAAGTTTAGTGTTGAAATCTGTTAATTAAAAACAACAGTAACATTAGCAAGAATTCTGCAAACAAGTTACTTGTTTTTAAAGCATCACAAAATTCACCAGCACAATAGACAAAAGGGGTGAGAACAGAACCTGGCGCACAGTAAAAACACAACAGACACTGGCCACTATCTTTTCATGACTATCCAGACAAGGAATTACACAGATATTTACATTCATTACAAACTCTAGGAAATGGAAAGCTTTTACTACAAGTTATTTATGATCAAGAGTGTTGTTCCAAGGATTTAGAAGACTCAGTGTGTTGAGGGAAAAAAGCTGAGGCCCCATTAGCCAAAAACCCAACTCCCATTATAAGAAATATGCAAGAGACACTCAATAAAAAGGTTTTGGATCCAAATCCTTGTATGTACTCTTTAAACTAGGGAATGAGATAGGTAGGAATATGAGAAGACACAAGAAAGTAAAAGGGTTTATCTTCCCAGAGCCTTAGTTTAGGTAAAAGATTAGGGAGAAAATTTACATTTCTATCAAAACAAATGAACCACAGAGTAGAACACAAAATCCACATGAACCTAAAAAGATTTAAAAAATGTATAGATTTCAAAGACCGTCAGGGTTGCAGCAGAGAGCTAAGGCTCCATCTTAGATTCTCAGAGTATCCAGTCCCACACACCTAATGAAAGCATGGCTCTAGCATGAAACCTCTGATTCTGGTGACCTTGACCAGCCCAGAAGTGAGCTAAAAGATTTCTTTGCCTAGCAGACAAGCTATATTCCAGAAGTCAGCCAGTTTCTGAAACAAAAGGGTAGAGAAACTTGGCTTAAGTGCTAGATTCCAAATGCTTCGCAATATCACATCAGAAAAACAGATTAAAAGAGAACTCTTTTAAAGTAAAATTTAATTGAAGAAGGGAGTACTTTTCTGACATGTGTTTTAACATTCTCCCCAAAACTTTCCATAATTACCAGAACTGTGAACACCAAGCTAGCTTTGTAGGCAAGGCCAAATAAGGAGGAAATCCTTTCTCTTGTCTCCTACTGTGTAGGAAAATAAGGAGTAGGTAAACAATGGGGAGAAGGGGAAGAAGCATAAAGAGAAAAAGGAGACAAGGGGAAGAAAGTGGCTACATACCACCAGCCCACCAACTGGAAGTGGCTCAAAACCCTGCTTACATTTTTGTTCTGAGAAGTAAAGAACTCAAGGAGTCCAAGGAAGAGATTTCAAGAAAGAGAAAGAAAAGGAATCAGAGAGAAACCAAACAAAATCCAGGAGGATGTGCCACCCTGAATCAACAGTCTTTCCTCAACATACCAGAGACTAACCACCAGGATTTATTTAAACTTCCAGTACTAACTAGAATGGATGAGCAGTTATCTGTGAGAGTAAGAATGAGTGAGTTTGAGTGCATGTATGTTGTGAGTAGGTGTAGGGGAGAAACAGGGAGGACCTAAAGCCCTAGCTCTACAAAGGGAATCAATGTTAACCACTTCACACCCTTATTTACCACATCCTATCCAACTGTGTTCCTGAATTACTTCTTAAATTTATCTATTCCTATAATATTTATGTAGTACTTACTATGAGCCAAGCATTATTCTAAGTACTTTACACAAACTCATTTAATTCTCAGAACTATTATGTAAGTCCAACACTAGTCTCTCCATTTTCCACATAAGAAAACTGAGTCATAGGGTGATTAAGGAATCTGCTTAAGGTCACAGCACTATTTAATGGTGGCCTCAAAAGGATTCACACCTGTGCTGGATCCCTTCCTCTTAATTGCTATATGCAACTAAACTGCCTTACTAGCATCTTCGGTGAATCTTAAATACTTGCAAGGCACCATTCTACCCTCTGAGGATACAGCGGTCAATAAATAAAATTCGTGACCTTCAAAGTTATAATCTCAGAACAGGCACTCAAAGACAAAAATAACCTACCTAAACCAAAAAGTTAACCGGTCACTCTTACACTTAAAAGCCATTTGGTATTTTCCACTATAGATAGCACAAAGTTTAAACTCACTGACAACCTGGCATACTAAGCTTCTATGATTTGACCTTATTAGTATAAGCATCTTCTCAGCTTCCTCTTCTCATGGGACTCCTTTCCTTGACATCATAATCCAGTAACTTCTCTCTGCTTTGAGGTTAGTGAACTCGGCAGGCTGATTCACACACCCAGCCTTTACACTTTGTTTTCTTTACCTAAAATTCTTCTCTTTTTCTTCCTCTCTCTTTCTACCCTTCACCTAACTCACTGATATCACAGCCTTGGTGTAGTATACCTGTCGTTAAAAAACCTTCCCTGGGGGACACATGGGTGGCTCAGTTGGTTAGGCATCTGCCTTCAGCCCAGGTCATGATCTCAGGATCCTGGGATCGAGCTCCGTATCAGACCCTCCACTTGGCAGGGAGTCTGCTTCTCGTTCTCATTCTCCCTCTGTGCTCAACTCTCTCTCTCTTAAATAAATAAATAAATAAATGAAAACTTCCCCTGGGCCCAGTTAAACCAGGTTAGGTGCCCTATTTTATGTAGTACTTGAGAAAATTCTGACTTACCACTCTTAGAGCATTACCCAACCTGAACTGTAATTGTTGGAGTGTTTTTATTTTTTTATTTTTTTTTTAAGATTTTATTTATTTGACAGAGAGAGATCATAAGTAGGCAGAAAGGCAGGCAGGGGTGGGGGGGGAGCAGGCTCCCTGCTGAGCAGAGAGCCCCATGCAGGTCTCAATCCCAGGACACTGAGATCATGACCTGAGCCGAAGGCAGAGGCTTTAACCCACTGAGCCACCCAGGCACCCCTATTGGAGTGTTTCTTAAAGATAAGGCCTATTTTGTTACTGTATACTAAAAAGTTGTCAATGTCCCCTTTATAATAGTTTTTTCCCTTTATAAAAATGGTATTATGCCCACTACCTGTAAATTATTTTAATGGCTACATGATTACCTTTTACCTTTATTCAAATTTTGACAGAATTAGAGTGACACTGACTTCTTTGCTAAAACCAATAGGTTTATGGTAGAGTGGGTATATATGCAGTGATAATCCATTTTTAGATGGATGGAAAATATGGAAGTCAAGGTGAGAAAAACACTAGCTTAGTGAAACATACTAGAATTTAATGAACCAATAGCTGAAAGTATGCTGAAACTATCTCCTCAATTGTCTGCTTACAAAACAGAAAGCTCATATAATTAAAAATCTAAGTTCCTTTGTCTTATCAAAATGGTTTATATGCAATTATTCATGAGGAATTTATATAAGAATAATACAGAGCAAGTAAAGAAACAGGACCATGATCACCTCACTATTCTTCTACATCTCCCAAGCTGTCTGTTAATTCATAAAAATAAATGAGTCTTCTTCTTCTCTGTGCTTTACTAAAGACCCCATCATGGTCCTATGCCTGACATTCTGCCAAGACAATTTCCATTCCCACTTAGATTACATCCCACTGAGTGTCCACAAAGTTCTCATATTACCACCTTAGCTTTTTCCTGAGTTTCACCCAGGCAATATTAGGGATTTGGGGTTTTGTTTTGTTTTGTTTTAAAGATTTTGTTTATCTATTTGAGAGAGACAGGAGAGAGAATACAAGCAGGGTAAGTGGCAGGCAGAGGGAGAAGGTGGTCCCCACTAAGCAAAGAGCCTGATGTGGGACTCGATCCCAGAACTGAGATCATGACCTGAGTTGAAGACAGATGTCTTAACCCAGTAAGCACCCCCCAGGCACCCCAATGTTAGGACTTTTAACACTTAGGCAGTACACAGGTACTATGCCTAAGGCACATGAGTGTTATGAACCCTAAAAACAAATCACAGGCTCTAAATACCAGAAAAAAAAAAAAAAAAAGAAAAGAAAGAAAGAAAACATTGCAAAAAATATTCGTGTCATTACATTTCCAAATAACATTATGTCAACATTAATTTTTAATACCTACAAAATTTTCATTACATTTGAAAACAATTTAGACTAGATTTTCTCAGAACCATTTGTAAATATGTATGATTATCAACAGTAAATTAAATAATTACAAAAGTAATTTACATAAAAAGAGTTATCATATGACCCAGAAATTCCACTCCCACATATATACCCGAGAAAACATGGCCACACAAAAACATGTACATGAATGTTCACAGCAACATTATTCATAAAGGCCAAAAAGAAGAAATTAACTCAAATGTCTATCAACAGATAAATGGATAAATAAAGTATATCCACACAACGGGTTATTTTTCCACAATGTAAGAGAATGAAGTACTGATAGATGTTACAAAATGGATGAACATCAACACCAGACTTAGTGAATGAAGTTGCTCAAAAAAAAGAGGTCATCTGAATGCATTCTATGCTATATATATTATATATTCAAGCATTATTCAATCTACAAGTCAGCAAAATCCAGACTGTAGGAAACTACTGGATCATCAGATTTCTTCAATAAATATGCACACATATAAAAAAGAAAAGAAAGAGAGGGAAAGAGATACAGAGGAGGAATTTAAATCAGACTAAAAAGCACATTAATCAATTACAGTATGAATGAACTTGTTTGGATGCAGACGATCTTCTGTATTAAATTATGACACCCCTGGACACTTGGACAATGATGGGATATTTGATAACCTTAAATAAGTAATTTTTAACTTTTTATAATGATAATTATAAAATGAGGTTTTTTTAAATTGAGAGTCCTGTCTATTAGGTCATATTCCAAAATATTTATGAATATAATGAAATGCTATCTGAGATAGGCTTCAAAATTAACAGCTTGTGGGACACCTGGGTGGCTCGCCCATTAAGCATTTGCCTTCAGCTCATGTCATGATCCCAGGGTCCTGGGATGGAGTTCCACATCACGCTCCTTGCTCAAAGGGGAGTCTGCTACTTCCTCTGCCTGCCACTTGCCCTGCTTATGCATGCACCCTCTGACAAGAAATAAAATCTTTAAACAAAAAAAACTTTTAAATAAAAAATTAAAAAATTAACAGCTTGGTTATGAATA